GTTGTGTTTTCTTATTTGCCGTTGTGTTTTCTTATTTGCCGTTGTGTTTTCCTATTTGCCGTTGTGTTTTCCTATTTGCCGTTGTGTTTTCCTATTTGCAGTTGTGTTTTCCTATTTGCCGTTGTGTTTTCCTATTTGCCGTTGTGTTTTCCTATTTGCCGTGGTGTTTTCCTATTTGCCGTTGTGTTTTCCTATTTGCCGTTGTGTTTTCCTATTTGCCGTTATGTTTTCCTATTTGCCGTTGTGTTTTCTTATTTGCCGTTGTGTTTTCCTATTTGCCGTTGTGATTTGCACTTCAGGGCCACCGTAGACAAGAGCTTCAGTCAGGGTATTATTCTTCTGTCTAAGAGCATTTGCTTTGTAAAGAAGTTAAAGAAGGCCCATCTATCTACCAACATCCTGATGAACCTTTACTGCTCTACGGTCGAGAGCATTCTAACCAACTGTTCAACACTCTGGTACAACGGCTGCCCTGCAGCCGACCAGAAGCCGATCATATGAATTGCACATCCTTACACTGTACATTATATCAGAATCAGGTTTATTAAGTCTTTACACACACAGGGATTTTTTTCAGATTTTAAGACACAAAACAGAGCAAAACACACGACACAAACAGTGAAGGGACCCTGTCTAATGGCATATGTACTGGATAAATATACAATGTGTAATATGTATGTGAATTGTCCACAGGTGCAATGTCTGTAGGAGTGAGCAGATTGCAGAAAATAATGAGCAATGTCCATATTGAAGTATTACATTACGGAAACAATATCTAGTTATACATACAGATGTGCAAAAGAAGAGCAATGTCCAGTTATAGTGCAAGATGTCCCCCGTGGTCATTCACATCAGAGCCAAAAGTGTCCAGGGTGGGTCGTGTAGGGGGGAGGGGCTAAGGGCAGTCTCATACTAGAGGCATATTCCTTAGACGCACCGCTGTGGGGAAGAAGCTGTTCTGGTGGCGGGATGTTTTGGTCTTGATAGACCTCAGCCGTCTGCCACAGTGGAGAGTTCTGAATAGTCCTTTACCTGGATGGGAGGGGTCTGCCTCAGTGACATGGCTTTGAACAGTTCTTTAAGGGACACCAGCTTACAACCAATGGTGTTGCAGTCTGTCCTTATCCTTGACAGTGGCTGCAGCGTACCAGACAGTGATGGAGGAGGACAGGATGGACTCAATGATGGCTGTGTGGGCATTAATCATCATGGACGTTGGCAGTTGGTACTTTTGAGCTGCTGCAGGCAGTACAGTCTTTGTTGTACATTCTTAGTGCGCGAGCTGCTGCTCCTATTTGAGGTGGGCGATGGTTTTTCCCAGGAAGTGAATGTACTCCACTTATTTACTTGATCTGCCATTTGCACAATACATCCTGTGGTACTCCTCTTGCCACCTCTTGCCCTGCTCACTGCTTGCCTTTTTATTATATTTGCCTTTAGTACAATGCATTTTCAACATGCACAGATGTTCTCCGCTTGTATTGCCCTCTGCACATTTGCAATTTGCTACATTGTTGAACTTAATATCTGCACATTTACTTATCCATGTCATCTGCACATCCTTACTCTGTACTCATATGTTTTTGCACTTCTGGTTGTGTACATTTTGTGTATCTTTGATGGCGGAGAGCTGGGCACCAATGATGGTTTTCACCTCCCGCTGCAGGGACTTCCGGTCAGCCACAGGGCAGCCGTTGTACCAGACTGTGGCACAGTTGGTCAGAATGCTCTCGACCGTAGAGCGGTAAATGTTTATATTGTTGCTGGTGTCTAAATGGACATTAACACATCACAGCGTTATCGCTGCTGCCTCACCTACACATCTCACTGCAGTTGTGACACCATTTATGAGTTACATTTATGGATGATGGACCATCAGGACTTCATGGCTTGGTGACATGCCCTGTCAACATTATTCTGTACATTATTCCAGATCTGTGTCTCCATATAATCGGATATGGTTTGTGCTCTGACATGCACTGTCAACTGTGGGACCTTATATAGTTTCACGATATCAAAAGGTGTGCTGTGCAAAAGATGAGCCATGTCCAGTTATAGTTCAGGATGTCCACCAATGTCTATTGTATCAGAGTTGATAGACCGTAGTCGTCTGCCAGAGGGGAACGTTTTGAATAGTCCGTAACCCGGATGGGAGGGGTCTGCCTCAATTTGCCTGACTGACCTGGCTTTGAGCAGATCCTTAAGAGACGGCAGCTTACTCTGCAGAACAGATGATGCGTTGCAGTCTGTCCTTATCCTTGACAGTGGCTGCAGCGTACCAGACAGTGATGGAGGAGGACAGGATGGACTTAATGATGGCTGTGTGGGCATTAATCATCATGGTCGTTGGGCCACAGGCAGTACAGTCTGTGTTGTCTCTTAGTGAGAGAGGTGCTGTTCAGCTCCCACTTGAGGTCCTGGGTGATGGTGTTGCCCAGGAAGTGATAGGACTCCACTGTGTTGACAGGGGAGCCACTCAGGGCAATGGGACAAAAGTCAGTTGGGCTTCTCCTAAAGTCCACTCTCATCTCCACTGTCTTTAGGGCATTGAGCTCCAGGTTTTTGAGACTGCACCAGGACACCAGCCGGTCAATTTCTCCACTTTCATGTAGTCTGGAGGGCATTGGAGGGCATTGTTTCAGCGCGGGAGCACATAGTCATCAACAGATTTGTTCTCAAACCTCTCCCGGGGACACCAGCCGTTCCATGTATTAGATGTAGCCCAGAACTATCACACCTGAATCAACTCGTTAACTAATTATCAAAGTCAAAGTATTTTATTGTCGTGTACTGAATGACTTGCATCAAACTGAACAATTAAATTCTTATGAAATGGCAAGCAACATCTACATAGTTAGAAGAACAAAAAAACAGAATAGCAACCGAATATACAGAATATATAGAATATTTATAACTACAAGATATACATAATGAAGTGTGAATATGGACAGTATACAAACCTTAAATACTGTGATCTAGTGCCAGTGATCTAGTGCCAGTAGTGGATACATTAGATAAGTATATCAGGCCCTTGGCTGCTTGATTTAGGTGAACTGTATCAGAGCCACTAAAATATTCAGTTCAGTTCCCTGGGGGAACAAATTCTTGTATGTTTCGGGAGCAAACATGTGTCTACTTAATTTTGCCATTGGGATACTGAAAAATACACCCAAACTGATCACTGTGTGACGGATCAACTAATGAAGCTCCTGAATGAGATACTAGTTCACAATGTTTACAGGTTCGAAACCTCTACTGAACAGTTCTGTATCTCAAATCATGAACCCGTCTCCACTTTTCCTCATCTGCCTTTACCAGTGGAAACAAGGTAGTGTTTCAGTTCTAGCCTCCCCCCGCCTTACCTTCTATAGTGGGCTTAATACCCATCTCTGTCTTCATTAAGTACCTCTGCATCCACACAGGCCTCCCTCTGCCTTACCTTCTATAGTGACCTTAATGCCAATCTCTGTCTCATTAAGTACCTCTGCATCCACACAGGCCTCCCTCTGCCTTCACTTCTATAGTGACCTTAATACCCATCTCTGTCTTCATTAAGTACCTCTGCATCCACACAGGCCTCCCCTGCCTTACCTTCTATAGTGACCTTAATGCCAATCTCTGTCTCATTAAGTACCTCTGCATCCACACAGGCCTCCCTCTGCCTTACCTTCTATAGTGACCTTAATACCCATCTCTGTCTTCATTAAGTACCTCTGCATCCACACAGGCCTCCCTCTGCCTTACCTTCTATAGTGACCTTAATGCCAATCTCTGTCTCATTAAGTACCTCTGCATCCACACAGGCCTCCCCTGCCTTACCTTCTATAGTGACCTTAATACCCATCTCTGTCTCATTAAGTACCTCTGCATCCACACAGGCCTCCCTCTGCCTTACCTTCTATAGTGACCTTACTGCCCATCTCTGTATTCATTAAGTACCTCTGCATCCACACAGGCCTGGTATCTGACCTAACTTTAACAGCCACTGGATTAGCTGACTTTTCTAGGCTTGTCACTCTGAAACAATATCTGTTCTGTAGTCACTTCCTCCATCTCCCTTCTCAACCTGTCCAGTTTGTTTTCACTCTCTTTCCTACCTGCACTTGCTGTTCTGCAGTAACTCCCTACTTCCTGGGACTCTCCAATCATTTCTGTGCAACCGGGTTTTGTTATCAGGTAATATCAGGGTCTCAGGTAGGGGTGTTTGACGGGGAGGTTGCTGCCATGTTCCCTGGTTGTTCCTTTGTCAATTATCAGGGTTCTGTGGACCATGTCCTTGACCCTTGTTTGTTTTGCCATTTGTCTTGGGTCTGTGTGCACATGTTAAGAATAATACATCTCTACTCTACCTTCTCTGTGTGACGGCGAAGCTAAGGAGTAGTAAGTTCCTAAGTAGCAAGTTTGCGCTCTTGACTAAAGGTTAGGACACACCGTGAGGTCAGACGGTGAGGTTTATTCATTAGAGCTCTAACAAGCCCTTTATAACACAGTATTATATACATCAGTGAGACGCCATCCATCCCTCAGTACCCACAATGCATTTACTGTTATTTATTCCCTACAACAGGACTTCACAATAAAAGTAATCACACAAGCATTAAGGGCCTTCCAACTGACATTGTAATGCTCTTTTACTATTGTAATCATATTCTCCCAACAGTACACATGGTGGGGAGTGCCTGTGGGGCCGATGGCGGTTACTTAACTACGTTACTGTCAACGACTGGGTGATTGGTAGCTAGTCAAGCGCAGCAGTGGTAGCGTTATGGTATTTTAATATCCACCGCCGAGCAAATCACAACCAAGTTATTTGTACTTCACTAGTACACGATAATCTGCTGGAATCTGCAGCGTCTCACAATGAACACTTCAATGACATGAAACAATTACAAACAAAAACACGACCAAACACAGGGAACCTATATACACCTACTAATAAGGGAATGGGCACCAGGTGTTTGTAATGACAAGACAATGAAGTTGGCGAAGTCGGTGGAGTTGGTGTAGCTCAGTGGTGGAGTGCATGCTATGCATGTATGATGTCTTGTGTTCAATCCCCAGGTTACCGTTGCAGATGAGAACTTGTTCTCAATCGGCCTTTCTGGTTAAATAAAGGTTAAATAAAAAGAATACAAAATGTGATGGGAAGCGCAGGCCTCTCAACTTGTTACGGTACAGACAGGAACTTACATCATTTGTACAATTGATAGCATAAAGAAATTATATAATGTTCAGACAAACACAGTATCGATTCCGATTATTTATTGTGTTTCAAATATGTTGTGTGATGTTGCAGTGTATTTGCGTCAGCGTCGTTTGGTGGATAAACCTGCAAGGATAACGCAATATTAGTGTAGCCGAAATGCATAGCATGCTACGGTGTTGTTTGGATTTACAAGTTCCAATATTGCTGGTTGGACAAAAGTGTGACGGATAGTTCAGCAGTGTTCAGGCAATAATTCCCGGGAGCAGGTGCACAGCTAAATGGATTCTGGGCGCTACCAACGTGGATATATTCCGGGGGTGTCACGGCCGTAGGGTGTAGTGCAGGTAAAAGCCATGTGCAGAGCCAGGTAATCCGTTCAATCAGGTTTATTATGGCACAACGGCAACATAAAACAAACCGCTAACGGCGCAAAAGGCTACGGGCTAAACTGAAACAAAAGGTGCGCATATAGCGTCTTATAATAATAAGTTCCAAAACCCAAACAGCACAAACAACAGACAAACACTCACCTCTATAATACTGTGACGTGGAAACAATGAACAGCAACCAGTGACTTCCTATCAATCCCTTTATAGCCCAGTGATTACCAATACCCAACAGCTATAACCAACAAAACCAGGAAGTGGTGCACCCGAAACTAGACAGTGCAGTACCCCAACTCACCACTTGTGACAGGGGGGTGGTTTTAAATGGGATAACTAATGTACTGTTGATGCGGGTGTATTTTGTATGTCATGGACGGGGGAGACAGTGAGAGATATTATTTGTTGAGCGGTGTAATAGTTATTAAATGTCAACCGGGTGGATATACAATGTTGGTATATATTGTTGGGACTCCTATGGGTTAAAACCACCCAGTTTTCTCTGTGCGGTTGCGTATGAAAGGAGGCCTGTTAAGTGTTTGGTGGAGGGGTTGCTGGATATACACAGTACATACATATATATGTGTGTGTTACGGTGTGTGTGTTAAGGCCACTCTGGGCCTCTGCCTCATCACTGTACCTCTGACAGCTTCTATTGGCGATACAACGGTGGAGTTCAATGGGAGAATGATGTTTTATAAAATAATTCTCAGTAAAATTTGGTAGAGTGAAGAAAGAAAGTATTTGATTCCCTGCTGGTTTTGTACATTTGCCCAGTACAGTAAGAGAGACAGAATAACAACAAGAAAATACAGAATAACGCATTTCAAATATGTTAAAGGGGATCTAATACTTTCTTCCTCCACTGCATTTATTGCTGGACCAGTTCAGCCAGGTAGGTAGGAGCAATCCATGTAATAATTCATAAGATAACAAAGTCTTAAGCCCTAGCTTTGACAAAAAGCCAGAGTGGAGACTAATACCAGAGTAATGTGTACAAAGAATGTTTTGTTTAGCAATATTTGAAGTTTATTTATTTGTTCATCAGGGTTTATCAGAAAAGAGAATTGAAATAATCGACAACCCCAAGTCCGAAAAAAGTAGGGACAGTATGAAAAATGCTCACACAAGCAAGAGTAATTTACCATGACAACTTTAAACCTATATCCACCCACGGAAATTTACGGCTGACGTTCTAAGAGATAAGACTAGAACCAGTTTAACGCAATATCTGTAACATCAAATGTTTTTTCATCACGAATGAGTGGGATGGAATGATCTATAGTGTCAAAAGCCCAGTGTCACGTGGGTGAGGTTTTGTGTTTCACACAGGGAGTTTAGTGGGGTGCATTTCCAGAGTAACAATGATTGTTTTGTTATTGAACAGCAAAAGGCTATTCAGGTCACTGTTCGCGCTTTGATGGATATTATTTTAATGTCACGTTTTGTGTAGGTGAGTCTAGTTTGTTTCGTATGTCATAGCTGTTTTGAGGTTTGTTGTTTATAAGTCACTGTTGTGCAATTTGCTTTCATGACAGTCTATGTTTTACGTTCAGTGATTGTTTGGGTTTGAATTAAAACCTTTTGAACTGAACGCGATACCACTCTAAAACCTGGCTTTATTTCTGCACACAACCTAAAGGATTCGTGACAGCCATGAACAAGTCCATAGTGACTTTAGCTAATGTCGTTTCTGCACTATGAAGTTTACAAAAACCCAATTGAAAGGGTTCAAAAAGTTTACAGTGACATAAGTGAAAATTTGAGAGTCCACAATTACGTTCCAGAATTCTAGCAAAAAAGGGAAGATTAGAAATGGGACAAAAGTTGTTAAGGTTGTTCATGTCAGAATTAGTCTTTTCAGGTTTAGTAGTTACAGCAGCAACTGAAACTTCTGCTGGCACCACACCAGTACAAAATAGGTCATTTATTATACAACAGTACACAAAGCAGAACATGACTTGAACGGACAGGTTGGGACACGATCAAAAATGGAAGTGGCATCTTTTATTTGGGATTCCCTCATTAACAAGTGACACCACAGCAAGTGGGGAGAAGTTAGAAAGAACATTCCCAGAGAAAAATGAAATACTACAATTGGAAGCAGCAGAGGTATTTAGAATACATTTACCAGCATTGTCACTCTTGGTGGTGAAAAAAACAGGTAGTCGGACTGCAGCAGGCATGGTAGGGAAACGATTACATTTAAGCAATTTGTTTGTATTATGAAAGATATCATATAAAGTGTTTTATTGTAAACTATTGACAACCATTGATTTAGAGTCAGATAAGTGCAGAAGCTGTGTTTTTGTTTTTCCAAGTTTGACCATTATATTATGGTATTAGAGCCCTTATGTTTCACACTCATATTACCACAATAACTTTGCGTCTCTTTGCAGTCCATGTGAATCTAAGCAGTGGGTAATTGGCTGCATAGTTCTGCCAGCTCCAATATGCTGTTCATCAAGGCTCAACATATATGACGTTATGTTTGTGACACATTCCTGAACGCGTAATTGTAAGTTTTGAGCACAGAGTACTATATTGTGCACTCTCAGGTCTTGACACACGCTCGCTCAACTTGCAGGTGCGCGCTCAAAAACTCGTCTCTGCGCTCGGGTCATGTCTTCCGCGCGCTCAACCTCAACCAATCAGAGGATTAAACAAGGTCAATTGTGATTGTCTGTTGTTCTCCAATCTCAACGCTTCCCAAAAAAAAGACGAAAAAAATAGGGATTTATGGATTTGAGTTGTTGTCTAGCCACATACACACACAACTTACAAGCCACTTATAAATGAATAATGAAAATACTTAAAAAAACAAAATGTGTTTTAATCCAGTAGTTCAGGCCTGGCCGTGCCGCATGCGGCTCTTTGTAAGGTTTCATGCGGCACTTACGTCCATATAGAAGTTTGTGTTTATTAATGTCCGTGTTCGCTTCGCTTGAATTCAATAAAATAGTTTCACACAGTAACACAGTAAAACATGTGTCTCTTAGTCTCTGACTGGTTGGCCCCTGCAGTAGTTGAACAACTCGCTGTGGTCAGTAATTTTTTTCAGCCACCTGGATGCTGTAGTTCTACTAGCAATTCAATTGGAGAACAGCAGCCAATCACAATTGACCTTGTTTAATCCTCTGATTGGTTGGTTTTGTGGCACATTTGTAACGCTCTGTAGAAGTTGTGCGAGCGTGTGTCTCAGGACTTGAGCGCGCACAGAGTGATTAGGTTGAGCGCGCGGAGGACATGACCCGAGCGCAGAGAACACGTTCTTGAGCGCGCACCTGCAAGTTGAGCGAGCGTGTGTCAAGACCTGAGCGCGCACAATATAGTACCCTGTGCTCAAAACTTACAATTACACGCTCAGGAATGTGTCACAAAGATAATGCCATAAACATAGAGTATCTGCTATGTGAGGCTGCTGTATTAAACACGTTACAGACCCCGACTTGTAAGCTGCTGGGTGTCTAAGACAATGATCTACTTGGTGATCCATCCTGAATCAATACGTTCTTCAATATGTTATCCGGTAGCTGATGTTTACCATGTGGTTTGTAGTTAGAGTAAAGCTTGTGTGGGGCCCAGGGTGGGGGTCAGGGTGGGGGCCCAGGGTGGGGGTCAGGGTGGGGGCCCAGCCCACAGTAGTTTTTCCCAGACAGTTTACAGATGCTCTATTGCTTCAGATGTCACATTTGTCAATTAGAAATTGGCAGCAAATTCCTGCAACCAGTGTTCCCACAATGTCAGATTAGTCAACCACATGTTGACAGAATAATCGTTCTTCTTGGTGAGTTCATTAGCATGCCAGCTCAGATAAGAAATCTGCTGATTTAGTTATTAATAAAACTTATGTATTTTGAGGTTATAAGTCACTTGAAACATTTTTGCTAGTATTGACCTCCAGTTCCTTCCAGTGTCCTGCCTCCATTAATCCAGTGCAGTATGGTTATTCACTTAAATGAAATGATGACAAAACTGCACCGACTTTAGTCTGTTCCAAATGCAAACTTTGAATCAAAAGTTCCAGGCTGTTCGCCTGTGGATGAAGTTCCACTGATCCTACATGCAACATAAAACATATTTGTGTTTTATTAAATGATTCCTAAATGTACTGGCACTGATCGGACCAGACAAACTTCTTCCACTGCTCTGGGCGCTTTCGACGGTGGAAAGGATTTTCTTAGACCACCTTACCTCTCTGGCTATGCGTTGTGACACATTCCTCCCGTAACCATCATTAAAATGTTCTGTAACTTGTGCCCCAGTAGACCTTCTGGAAGTTCAGACCTGACGGAATAGACTTTGTTGTTCACCACTGCTAACTGGTACTCACCACTGCTAACTGGTACTCACCACTGCTAACCGGGAGGTACCAGGTACTCACCACAGCTAACCGGGAGCACCCCAGAAGCATTGCCATTTCAGACACAATCTGATGCAATCATCTGGCCAAAACAATTTGTCCCTTGTCAAAGTTCG